TATGACTATCTTCAAAGCTTATTTCAGAAAATTTTACAATATTGTTTGGTTTAAACTTTACAAGAATATACTCAACAGGTAGGTTCTTTTGGTCATTTCTTTGGAATTGTTGACATAAATTCCGATGACGTAGCTATTCAAGATCTTGGCCACTTGTTTTTCTCTAGCTTGATTAAATTTATCTAATGCAATTAGATAATGAATCCTTATACTTGCTTTCACTGATTGGTAACTGGTGGAACATATTAATCGTGTTTACCCTCGGACACCTACGTGATTCGTGGTAAGTTTTTTGTTGTAGTACCATTTCCCCATATCAACCTCCGTTTTTAATTTCAGACCTCATTTAGAGGGTTACAAATATTGGATTAATCACTCACCTTGTTTATCTTACCTGCTTAAGTAGGCATAAACTAAAGTTTTTAAGAATCCATTAGGAAAGCTGGCAGCTATTCAGTTAACTTACTTTCCTATTTATTGCGTTTGTCTTCAGAAAAGGTCAACAAGAGAAAAATAAGCAGATTAAGATAGGATAAGTAGCTGCTTCTGTGCATATTGCGCCATCCACTCCTACTGTCGCCAGGGGTCATAGTAATTGCGTTAAAGTTTAGTGCTCGATTAGATTTGGCCAACGACCAAAGTCCCGGGTAAAAAATGAAAAAAATACGTACTATGATTTGACCAACTATATGCTATAAATATAATTATGCTTATTTCTCGCATATACAGCTTAAATCTCGCTGTCCGCCCTTATAGCCTTTGCCGATAGGAAAATTGGATGGGAAAATAGACTCCCTATTACGGAGGTGGGTTAAGAGAGACTAGTCTCTCCAAATAACGCACTGACACAAAGGTTGTGAGGCTTAGGTGGTAATATATTTGATTATGCACTTATACGTCTTTGAATTTGAGCTTAAAATTTATCCTATCTTGGATCGGAACGGCATATACAGTGAGTAATATCGGCAAATGACTAGGTTTTGATGCTACCATTATAACTTGCCTAGATCAAAAAAATTAATGGCATGATATAAATAATCTTAACGAAGTTATCGAATTTCATTTGGTCCTAATGATATATGCCAGTAGCATGAAAAGCGAAAACTCAGCCTATTTTCACCTGAAATAAAGGTGGATTTCCTGAGAAATGTGTCAGGATGGATCGT